ACTAAGAAACTTGATAGAAGAAATTATTGAATTCTATGATACTTCTTGAGATTCTAAAAGCAAAACCTCCAAACTTCAGTCATCTGTGGTTTTAATGATTTTCTATATTTTTCCTATACCCCTGAAAAGGGGGATACTCAGTTATTTTATTTGGCAAATAACCAATTATGGCAGGTAATATTGTATCCTCTTTACATAAGAAACTGAGACAAATGAATTTGGACATTAACTACTTCACCTAAGGACATATATAGCTTATCTGTTATGCTGTTTAGAATCCCACACCTGGTGTTTCACTACTCCAGTACTTGACCTTATTAATGACTAACAATGAAAAATAGTCCCTAAGAGTCCTGGAACCAATTATAGCACTAGCAAAACTTTATAGGAGTGGCAACTGACCTAACTGGGTAATTCTTATCTAATACAGTTTGCTTATCTGTTTAAAACGTCACTCATGGCAATTTTAAATTATTTTCTTAATTTTTCTGATACAATTTTGTGCTTAATGTACAAAATGTGGGAACTATAGATAATTCTAAAGAAGAAATGATTAGTCCACCACAAGCAGCAATGTCTATTATTTGAATGTTTTTCATAGGTCAGATAGAAACAAAACATTTAAAGAAAATTGGGAGGTTTTGAGCAATAACCACATCTTTGGGTTGATGTGAAGAACAACACATTCTTCCAAAAACATTTTCTGATATTTCTGTTAGGGATCAAATCCTGTACTGACCCTGAGGGTTATTCTTGGGCTTTGATCTCTTACCTATTTCCATTATACTCACAAACATTTGCACTCCTTGTGCTGGGAACTCAGTCCTAGAGTTAATTGTTTTATTGGTTCTAGCCTCCTACTCTAGCTAGTTATCCAGGTAGCTAGTGCCCCAATTTCAGAGGAAGACAGCTGGTAATAATCTCTATTGCTCCCCCACCCACTTCCTCTAAGCCAGCTCTTGGTATATATAGGTATCCTTACCTCCACTCCAAACTCCCCCCACTCTTGTGCATGATTCAGGGGAGGGGACGGATGGTCATTCTAGCACAGGAGGTGGTTCCCCTTGCCCACTTGATGCCGGGGTCACAGTTGTCCTGCTAGTCCCTAAATACACCTTCTGCTGGTTCTGCCCAGTCTCCTGCCCCTACTTGGCTTCTTCTAGTAATTTTCCACTTACACCCCTAGCTGAGTAGCTCCCCTCAAGGCGAAAACTTTTCTCCCTGTCCTTGGAATGCACCTTTGTTCCCGTGACTCATCCTACCCTGTACTTGTTGTATTCCTGACCCCTCCCTCACTCCTTGCATGATAGCAAAGTTCTCATCCAACTGCTGGTATTTCCCCATGATCCAGGACAAGAAAGCTAGGGTTTCCTGGACACCAGTGATCTCATTACAACAACTTTCTTCCACCTTCAAGATACACCTTTATCCCCAATGGACTCCTAAAATGACCATCCAGGCTCAGACCAGGGGTGATTAACCAGCACGCCCTATTAATGTTCTATTGCTCTGCTAGCTCAGATGTGTACAAATGCAGCAGATAACAGAGGAAAACTGGCTCTGTGCAGCGCTAGCCCACAGCTTCTAGGACTTTAGCCAGGCCCAGAGGGTAAATAACATTGCCTGGAAATGCAACTTCGGGAGAAAGACGGAGGGAAGTCTGATTTCCCCAGAATTGAAACTAAGGCAGTTAGACAAGTTCTGGTGATCATAGGGACTTTCAGAGTGATAATGTTACCTGCTGATTGTTACCTGTGAAGTTCTCATGTAAATTCTTAAAATCTTCTAGGTAACTCATTTGAGTGAAAATCCTTCATAACTATATGATTCATTTTTATTTTCAAAAGAAAGATAAACAGTTTCCCATTGCTAGTGGACTCTAAAGAATCTTTTAAAAAACTCTTCTTTTTTTTTTCTAAAGATTTTATTTGTTTATTTGACAGAGGGAGACACAGCGAGAGAGGGAACACAAGCAGAGGGAGTGGGAGAGGGAGAAGCAAGCTTCCCGCCAAGCAGGGAGCCGGATGTGGGGCTCAATCCCAGGACCCTGGGACCATGACCTGAGCTGAAGGCAGAGGCTTAATGACTGAGCCACCCAGGTGCCCCTCTTATAAAAAACTCTTGACTGACTTTATACAAGAGAGAAAACAAGCCCTTTTTTGTTGAAGCTACTGTTTTTCCAGTTTCTGCTACTAACAGATAATAGATTGAGAGCAAATGGCTGTTAATTATCTAAAACTGAAACCCAGAAAGACTAAGAACACAAGGTTTATACTTCCCCAAATAGATTTGAAGGAATAGAATATAGGACAGAACTTTCTTTGGGGAGGAGAGAGACAGAGCTAGTTGGTGGGGAGAGCACTAGAGTGAGAGCAGGTGGATCTCTGAGAAAGGACTTGGCCTGTTCCCTGAGCCGAAAAAGCTCAGGAAAGGGAGGACAGTAAAAATGGATTAGTTTTGCGTTGCTTCTGTAACAGTACCACAGACTTAATGGCTTAAAACAACATACATTTATTATCTTACAGTTCTGAAGACCAGCAGTCCAAAAAGGCTCCCATTGGGCTAAAATCAACATTTTGACAGGGCTGGTTCTATCTGGAAGCTCTGGGGAGAATTTGTTTTCTTGCCTTTCCCAGCTTCTAGAAGCTGCCTGCGTCTCTTGGCTCATGGTTCGCTTTCATATTCAAAAGCAGCAATCACCTGTGGAGTCTTTCTCACATCACATTATTCTGACACTGATTCTCTGCTTTCCTCTTCCACTTTGGAGGAGCTGGTGATGATATTGGGCCCCCCTGCATAATTCAAAATAATCTCCCCATCAGGGTCAGTAAGGTAAGCAACTTTAATCCCATCTGGAACCTTAATTCACTCTTGCCACATAATTTATCATCATAGGTTCTGGAGATGAGGATGTGGACATCTTTGGGGGACTGTTAGTCAGCCCTCAACAGATTCCTGTACAGATTTGGAGACACGTACTCTGTTTTCCCTCTGGCGCCTTGAAAGCCAGTCACCATGAATTCTCCACACCAGCATAGGGTGGCAGCAGTGAAGTAGAGGTCAGGAGGGAAGGGCCTGGGAGCTGCCTGGCAGTCCGCAGGCCCCAGTGTTCTCTATTCAGGAGAAAGCTGGCAGGCCTGGGAGGAGCCTAGCGGTTGGCACAAAGTAATGCAGCTGTGAAAATCACCGTGGATCCCATGACTGGGGACCATATGGGGATGCCAGGCCTCAGAGGATGCCAGTGGAGAGGTGTAACAATTACTGAGGGCCCGATAAGAATGTTCTCAGAGATGTCAGTTGGAGTTGCTGATGTTTGAGGAACACCACCTCCCTTTTCACTAAAAGCCCTCATGGAAGGAGGGAAGAAACCTCTGAACTGACCCCCAGAAATGTGAGTTGATTCAGAAAACTCTGAAGTTACTGAGAAAACCCCAATCTAATTAAGATGAATTTCCTGTCACTAGGCTGAATGGGAATTTGAGATAGAGACTAAATTGTTACAGAAAAATAAAGTTCATGTTTTACACCCCTGATTTTGTCTGAGAGCTGTGCCTGCAGCATGTAAATGAGGACAATGATGTCGAGCCTCCCATTCTGACAAGAATATTGGGAAATACTACCTTATTTGTAAGCACGTGGTGAAATGGAGCTTAATGTAAATGTTGCACGTGTTCCTTGATGAGCCTCCTCCAGATCAGCAACATGGGTGAGCTGCATGTTGAAGGATGAGCCTGTGACATTGTGCACAGCGAAGTAACTGTGTTTCTACGTGGCTGTTTTGACAACATAAAAACCAAGCCCTCAAACTTTTCAACTTCCTTTTTTTTGTTTGTTTTTGTTTTAAGGTGAAGTAAAATGTCAAATTTAAGTCTTCACTCAGCTCTGTGCCTTGCTCAGAGGCATGACGAGGGCAGGAGGAGCAGGTGGGGCCTGTGGCCGGTGCCCTCCCTGGCTCAGGGAGCAGGTACCTCACCAACATCTTCCTGGGTGAGCCCTCCTTGGTGTCTTACAGTCACGCACCCACATGGTGCCCTTGAATGCCTTTTCATCCAAATGAACAACCCTCACATCAACAAGTTACTTTAAAAATCATGGAAAGGCAGCCCTTTGGAAGAAAGTGGTCAGAGGAAGCAGTCATCAAGAGCTGTGAAGTTGAGGCCTCACACAGACTTACTTGCTATATTTTGGCTTTGCTTAAGAGCAGCATTTAGAGCGATCCGGGAAACTGCTGCCAAACTGGTGACAGTCTTCCCTTGGTGCTGGAACCAGAGAAGCAGAGCATGGGGACCTCTGGGGGTCTGATTGACTGTTTGGCTTTGTCACCAGGAGCCAGTGTTGCTAGGACTGACCCCTTGAACCGGGTCCCAGAGTTCTTGGGGTTATTATGAAGAAAGTTTTTGTCATCAGTGGGCTTGTCATTAAAATCTGGGTAAACAAATAAGGTTTGTTTTATATTCTAAGCAAGTGAAAAAAATAATCGCAGTATCAGTAATAATATTAACTAATATTTATTGAGTGTTTACTATGTGCTAGGCACCATGCTAAAGTACTTTACATACATTATCTCATTTAATTCATGTAAGCGCTCTGAGGGAAAAGAATGATTATTACCTCTATGTTAGAGACAAAGAAACTGGGGCTTAGCAAAGTTAAGGTTCCCTGCCTATGGTCACCCAACTTGTAAGTGACTGGCTTGAACTCAGGTCTCTCTGGCCTCACAGCCTGAACGCTCAGAAGTATGCCATTCAACCACTTTAACCACCCATGGGCAGATTCCCACTGCTGGAGGGAATACGTGTCTGGCATTTGGGGTGTGTGTGTGTGTGTGGCGGGGGGAGTGCCAGGCTAAGGTCCTGCGAGAGCTCTCTTGGAATCACATTTTCTGACCCCAGCAGCTGGTAGAGGCTAACGATTGGAAGCTTATTCTCCACAGGGTCAGGTGTGGATCTGGCTTCAGAAAGCCTTGGGGGCAGGATGGGGGCAACTTCTGGATTCCTGGGACTCACTTGGGCTTAGCTCATGGAGGTGAGGGTGGTGGGGTGGGCAAAGTTGGGGAAGGCGCTAAATAATACTGCCTTATATTAATCAGACTGTGACATTTTTTTTTCAGTTTGTATTATCCACGAACTATTATAACAGAAGCATTTTCTTAAAGATAAAACTACGTATTAGCAATATTAATTACAGATACAGCTCATTGGATTCATGCAGTCCCTTGCCAACAATCTGAGGTGATTCTTGTGCTCCTGGAATCTAAACATGGCGTCGTTATCACACTCTTGACCAAATGCAGTTGGTACAGGAGGGATGCTAACCTTCTAGATGTCACATGATAGCAGCAGCAAGTAGGAGACCAAATATCTTATGGTTTTCATAAATAGGAGGAGACATGTTCACCTTACGGTTTTGAACATTTGAAGTTCTTCCCATTGTCAGGGTACTGGGCAGCACTGGTGACATTCTGTCTTTCAGACTCTTAAATCTGGTGGTGGCCAGTCTGATGTTTTGTCACTCTGCACACTTCTGTCTCTGGGCCAGGGTGTCTGCAATGTTCAGAGCAGGCATTTCAGTGCTGAGAACAAAAGGAGGGAACAGGTGGGTTGCTTACAGCCTTGGTTTCATCTCTGGGCTGTTGGGTGGGATAGAACAGAGGAAGAGAACAGAGAAGGGACCCGAATGGCAAATCTTGTTATGGTGTTCTCAGTACTCTGACGTATCCAACCACAGCATCACGTGGCTCTCTTTTTTTTTTTTAATTTTAAAGGCAACATTAGTCAATTCACTGTTCTTTCCAACAGTGCAACTGAGTTTGAGGTGTTTGGTGTGTCTTATGCCTCCTTCCACAGAAGAAAGGAGTCGGGGGCAATTCCTCATCCCTGTCAGAGGACGCATTCCCAGGAAACCTGTGTGGCTCCTCCCTGACTGGCCACCTTCTTCCATTTTACGAACGCAGCATGTTTTCTGTGACGGTGCTGCCTGCGCTGCTGATGACAAAGCTTTGGGAACTGGACACGACGAGCGCCGGGGCCATGTCTTCAGGCTCTTCCGTCTCTGGTCGGCGGTCCCCCCCCACAGGCCCTTGCAGGCCCGTGTCCTGCACAGTCAGTTCTGAGGCCGCCTCCCCGCACTGCAGCGGGAGCAGTGCCTGGTGTCTGGTCAGGGTCTCGTTGCCTCTCTGGGCCTCCAGGGAGTGCTGGTGCGTGGAATTCCTGGGAGCCATGGCACCCTTCCGAGGCTCGTCAAAGCTCAGTGAGAAGGTGACGGTGCCACTGCCGAAGATGACCTTCTGCTTGCATCTGGGCTGCGGCCGTAGGGTCAGGGGTTGCCGTGGCGGCGGCTCTTGCTGGGGCAGGGCCAGTGGTGGCTGCTGCAGCTTCTGCCTCTCGGGCTGTGGGAAGGGGTCCTCGCTGTTGCTCTTGCTGCTGATGGAGGAGGAGGGCGTGGAGCCCGTGGAGCCCCCGAGGCTGCTGGACCGCTTGCGGGAGACGTTGCTGCGGCGCAGCGTGGCCCGGGCTGCCACCTTGAAAGCATGAGCAGCGGTGCTGCAGCGCACCTCCTCGATGGTGTTACGGGACGGCTTGAAGAGGATGATGTAGACCTTGTTGAAGAAGATGCAGGCCAGCAAGCCAAAGCTGGCTGCCAGGATGGCGATCACTTCCACGGCAGAGACAAACTTGCCGTAGGTGCTGGCGTAGGCTGGAATGAAGGAGATCCAGACGATGAAGAAGATGAGCATGCTGAAGGTGATGAACTTGGCTTCATTGAAGTTCTCTGGCAGCTTCCGGGACTTGAAGGCAAAGAAGAAGCAGATGGCCGCCAGCAGACAGGTGTAGCCAATCAAGAAGCCCAGTGCCATAAGGGAGCCCTCATGGCATGTGATAAAGATGATCTCATCCTCCAGCTCATGGTTGCGGTAGCTTGAGGGTGGGGCGGTGTAGAGCCAGATCACGCAGATGACAATCTGCATGAAGGTGCAGAGGAAGACCAGCAGGAACTGCAGGTTGAGCCCCCACCACTTGCGGTGGAAGCTCGTGGGGATCTTGGCCTCAAACACCAGGAGGACACGGTTGGTTTTCACCAGGATGCATGATATGCAGAGCACGAAGCTGATACCAAAGGCTGGCTGGCGCAGGCGGCATGTCCAGTCCTGGGGCTCACCAATGAAGAACAGGGAGCTGGAGAAGCAGCAGAGCAGGGAGAAGAGGAGGAGGTAGGAGAGCTCTCGGTTGGTGGCCTTGACGATGGGTGTGTTACGGAATTTGATGAAAACACCAAGCACGAAGGCTGTCAGGAAAATGCCCAGCACGGCAAAGAGGGTGAGTGCAATCCCAAAGGGCTCTGTCCAGGACAGAAACTCAATCTCTTTGGCAATGCAGGAAGTGTGGTTTTCATTGGACCAGAAGTCATCGGGGCACTTGTCACAGGCACTTGCATCTGTAAATTATTCCAGGGAAGAGTGTTACTGTGTGGCATAGACTATAATTTGTGAGTGTGAATGTGGTGGTAAGGGTATACAGATTATTGGATGTGGTCACTTTAAATTTTCTTTGTTGATGAAATAATTGTGATTTTTACATTACAAACACATTGAACTTTGACTTATGTTTAATAGTATACTTATTTAATTTTACATAATTATAATAGTTCTCTTATTTCTTTCCTTCGTACACGGTGAGGGGTGGTGCTGCATGTTTCCTTTAGCACTACTTGCTGATGGCTTATAGCAGAGAATGATCAATCTTGCTGGACAGGTTGCTTCCTACACACTAGGGGTCTAGCATCATTCATCACCTTTCCATAGTGATTCGCACTCAGCCTGACTCATTTTGGATATATGGATGGGCTTTGTGGATATGCCAGAGCAGACTTCCTCTTAGATCAAGGCAGAGTACCCCGCACAAATGACCTGTGCCTTCCTTACTCCACATCGTGGCTTTCCAATGAGGGAGGCTGCAGACTCATTCAGTCAATAGATATTTATTAAGTCTCTGCTATGTCCCAAACAGCATGCAGTTTTGGGGAGTGAAAGGAGCATGGGCTTTCAGTCAGAGATTTGAATGGGAATCCTGGCTTTGCCATTTACTAGCTGTGTGACTTTGGTCAGGCTTCTTAACCTCTCTGAGCCTCAGTTTCAATCATCTCTGTAATGGAAGCCATAATCCTTTTATTGTGGTGAGGATGTTAGAGAATAACAATAATAACAATTATAGTTAATATTTATAGGGTGCCTCCAATATGTCAGGTAAGGTTTTTATTTAACATTTATCTAGAACTTACCACGTGCTATACCAATATTAACTCATTTAATTCCCCAAACTCTATAAAATAGATTTTTTATTCCCATGTTATAGTTGAAGAAACTGAGGCACAGGAAAAGCATAAGTAAGACAGCAAATACAATGCCAGGCACCCAGCAGGCAATATATCATGGCCTATTAACTCTGTAGTCTGGAACAGACAGGACTTTGTCTATTCAGGGTTACTGAGCTGTAAGAAAAGGATTACAATATTGGAGAGTGGTATCAAAGTAAAAGAAAGATGTCTAAGCTTTTATAGTATTAGAAGACATCTAATATTTCTTTTCTGTCCCCCTCAGTGTCCGGCCCAGTGTGACTCTCATACATACCTTGTTAAATGAGAAACTGTGCTAAGTACCTTCTCAGCCTAGCCCTTTCAGGGACTTCGCTGACCCCAGGGCCCCCAAGTGGACCAAGCCTTGCATTGTGTCCATGAGAGCATGTTCCTTTACCTGTTTCATCACTGTACTCCCCATCAGGACACTCCACACACTCAAAGCAGCAGGTGGGCTCCCCCTCAATGATTCCTTTCCTGGTCCCTGCCAGGCAGTCTCGGCTGCAGTTGGAAAATGGCACCTGGAGAACCGAGAGCACAAAAGTGAAGGGCTGCAGCTGTGGGATCAGTTTCACAGCTCCTTTGACGTAAGTACAGGGAAGGAGTTTGTACACAAGGACCAGTACAACAGACTTCAGGCCCATTCCAGACAGAGGAAGCTCCAGAGATCCGTGTTCCTGTTATCTATGAAGGGAGAGATGTCCATGGGCAAGTGGCTGCACATGCGGATGCACACACACACACACACACATTCATGGGATTCTGGGAAGATGAGTTGTTGTGACTCTGCACAGTGACCAAAATCCTCCTTAAATAATCCCCCGTTCCATTCCCTCCAAGTCCCAGAGTGGCACACCTGTTTACTTTCCATGGAAACAGAAGTTTAAGACAAACTAAAAGATACGGGGACATGGACCTACACACAGGACATTACAAGGGGAGATGCTGAGATGAGGAGAAGTTTGTTTGAAATAAGACTTTGAACTTTGCAGTGAATTGCAATTCCTGCAATTTTATTTTAGGCTTTATAGGGAGACTTCTGAGATACTTGCCACCATTCAGCAAGGCAGGCAGGACAGGCATAAAGGGGTCAAAAGTAAATGGATCAGAAAGATATGTCAGGCAATTACTATCCAAAAGAAATCTGCAATAGCTACATTAATTCAGATAACAGAGATTTTATTTGTTTGTTTGTTTGTTTACTTATTTCCTTAGTGGACTTCAGATGCATGGAATTTGATTGATCATAATCCTTTTTTTTTCCCATCATTATTTATTCATGTTTCAATCACTTTTAGCCAGTCATTTTTAATGATTACCATCCAAAACAAAAGCTAGGACCAGAATAACCTACATGTAACTGTATGCTTTCCTCCATCCCTTGCTCCCCACCCCCCACCACATATTCATACCCGAGATGACCACTATTCTGTGTTTACCACAGCAAATAACACTAAATTTTCAAGGAACAGATGAATTTAACCTTATGTGACCTCTACCAAAGGTTTAAAGAAAAAGAAGGAACACCCTCTAACTCATTCTTATAAGGCCAATGTAACCCTGATTCCAAAACCAGACAAGAACAGTATGAAAAAGAAAAAAAAATTACAGGCTGATCTCCACTACTTTGTCTTCAGAGGCATACCTGAGTTGAGGATCTGTGTACAAGTAGTTTATAAAGAAAGTTCTCTCAAGGGAACCAGGAAGAGAATGGAGCAAGTCAGACACAGAAGGGAACAGGACAGCAAGGGTGTAATCTTGAGCAAAGACCCTCAGAGAGTAGCTTCTGCCTGATCCCACAGGAGAACTCTGGACTGTAAGTTGTTCCTCAGAGCTGTCCTGACCTGAGGAAAAGGGAGCAGGAGATTTCATACTTCCACACCCCCACTCATTGTTAAGGGTCATCTTAGGGAAATGTAAATTCCTAGGCTTTTTTGCCTCTCTGAGCCTGTGAGCAAAGTGGGTTCCATTAGCCTGCTGGTAGTCTCCTGAAAAAGAGTGGTGAGTTTTGGTTATTGGAAGCAAAAATATATAGAAGTCCTGGAGGTATATATAAAGTATAGGAATCTGAAAGGACCTGGAAAGAGTACAACTATTTTTTACCACTTGAAAAAAGATGAAAAATCCTAAAACAATTAACAAACTCAAAGGACATAAGAAACAATATATACCATGATCATGTTGGGTTTATGCCAGGAATGCAAACAAGTTTATCATTAGGAAATCTATAAATGTCATCCCCTGCATTAATAAATTAATGCAGAAAAGCCATATATGATCATCAGTAGATGAAGAAAAAGCATTTGATGAAATTCAACACAAACTGATGATTAAAAACTGAATTGAAAAAGGAGTTAGGAAGAAATATCTTTAACTTGCAAAGGGTAATATAAAAAATTCTTAAACATCATTCTATATGAGAAAATATAAAAGTATTTCTTTTAAAACAAGAATGCCCACTATCGCCACTGTTATTAAACACTGAGTTCATAGCTAGTGGAATAAGACAAGAAAAATAAGGGCATAAATATTGGAAAGAACTCAATAAAACTATTTTTATTTGTAGATGATATATGATTGTCCACATAGAAAACTTACAAGAAACAGCAACCAAATTATTAGAAATAATTGGGGAGCTGCCCCAAGCTAAAATGCCACGGACTTTTCTTACCCAAATTTCATTAGTCTTTCTTAAAAAGACACTTCACCTTTTGTTTGCTTTTGGTTGATTGCCAGATCCTTAAATGGTTGTTTTTGACAGTTTTGTCCAGTTTATTGCTTCACCATTTCAGAAGCTCTACTTATGTCTCATTCCATATGATCATGTCAGATAACATGGAAGGGCTCATACTATTTCCAAAATGTCTCTTTAATGAGACTCTTCCCTTCTCTTCCCATCTACCTGCTTGGTTTGGAGACATCTTACAGAGTTAAGTGCATGGAAAACAATAAAATTTCTTTGCTCTAACAGAAAAGAAATAACTGGTGTGACAAGAAGTTTTTTAAAAATCTTGAAGATGATTGGCATTATCTTCTAATGAAAAAGGGATAGAAAGGGCAGTGTTGAACCTGATGATCTCTAAGTTTCTTGGGGCCCTGGGGCCCAGGGAAAGGAAGGAAAAGAAATAGTGAAGGACAGTACACATTAGCGCTCTGAACCATAGTAACACAGTACTCTCAGAGATTTTATCTTTCCCAGGTTATCAACCCATTTGATCTAAGAAATTGTCCTTTTGATTTATAAGTCAATTGTTTTTGATTCATAAGTCCTTGAGCTATTTGGATGACAGGGAACTAACTCTGTGTGAATTGTCCAGGCCCTGCCTTGAATGATGTTTATGTTTGCTTAAGTATTTTGCTCTAGTTGGGGAAAGCTCTAAGTGAGGAAATTGTTAGTCATTTAGTCAAGGAGTCAGATTTATAAAGAATAACAAATTTTCCAATATAGTAAGTATGGGGCTCAGGTTCTGAGGATTCTCCTCTGTACACTAAACACTGATGGATTTCACAGAGCAACTTGGCAGTGCAGAGTTAGTGAGTTGAGGGAAGTGAACTTACCATTTTTCAAGTCCAGTGGTGAAGCCCAAGGCCCTCCCAAAGCCCAGCACAATTTCTTCCCCATGGTGGAGGCATCTGTTGTTCTGAGGGACAGCACATACCTCCCTGGAGAACCCACTCCACAGGATTTTCTCCTCATTGATGAAGAGCCTTTCTCCTTTCTTGGCATAGACGTTGTAATATCCAACTTCCTTAAACACTATGGAGCCATCCTCTGGGGAGAGGTGCCAGTTGATGATGGAGTAGTTCCCCATCAGGTCACCACATTCATCGAAAGTCACCTGCTCCCCCATATTGTTGGTAAAGTTTAGGTGCCGTAGGTGCTTCAGGACCTAAAGAGGAACAGAGATTCTGAGAACAAGCCACAGGGCTTCCATGTATGGTTGAATGTGTTGGGTACTGCACAAGGACAGTAAACTATCTTGTTCTAACAAAGTGGAAGGAACATAACTTTTAGGAAGAGGCACCTTTTTCTTTTTCTTTTTTTTTTTTGAAAGATTTTATTTATTTATTTGAGAGAGAGAATGAGATAGAGAGCATGAGACGGAGGAGGGTCAGAGAGAGAGGCAGACTCCCTGCTGAGCAGGGAGCCCGACGTGGGACTCGATCCCGGGACTCCAGGATCATGACCTGAGCCGAAGGCAGTCGCTTAACCAATTGAGCCACCCAGGCGCCCCGAGGCACCTTTTTCTAATTTACACTAAGGTACTTGCATGTGTTAGCGGCAGCCCTGGTAAGTCTTGGGCTTTACTTGGTATTCAGATGGTAACTGGGGTAAGAAACACTTTCTTGAAGTCAGGAAAGTAAAATGGGTACATCTCACTATGGCCCCTGGCCAAATCAAGTCTTCTGCAGGAACATCATCAACTGGTGGTGCCCCAGGAGGGGCAGGGTTTGTAAGCCAGAGCCATCTGTGGTGTATTCTAAGATGGGTTTTGGGAAAGGAGTGGAGGCATGAAGTACTCTTATGATTTGCACCATCTTTATGCTACTGCCTCTGTGGAAGTGTCTTGCTGCCAAAGATCACAGAGGTGGTGGGTGGAAGGAAGAAAGAAATGAGGCTGTGGGTGGAGCCCTTACTATATATGTCACATAGCTCTTGTGCAAAAAAATAATGATAATAATTATTATATCTTAGTAGTCATTTTACTACATTTTAGGCACAAATGCTAAATACTTTATATTCATTATCTAATCTTTACAACAAATAGTACTATCACCCCCATTTTATTGATGGGGAAAGTGAGGCATAGAAATGGACATATCTTGTTTAGGGTCACACAGTTAGCAAGTGGTGCAAAGCCTGCGCTCTTAATGGCTGTGCTTTGTTGTAGCATCATTAGGTTCCTGGCTTTGCTTCCTGTGTGCCCCTGACATGGATCAGGAGGAGGCAGGGGACACTCAGCTCCTTTCATGTGGGACGTGCCAGGGGTCACCGAGCCACCAAGAGAGATTAAGACACGGTCCAGCCTGTGAATGTAGGGATGCTTGCTTCTGCTGCACCTCCCAAGTCCCTGGGCTTTATCACTTTCCAGCTCTGAGCATGTTTCCTCACTTTTGTAAGGAGAGTGTTGGGCCAGAGAGGCAGCAGGGTCTCTGCAAATTCTAGCATGGACTTCTGTTCTGTGGTTTGGTGGTCCCAGAAGTACATCTAGAGGCACCTCTCCCTTTTATCATTATTTTTAAGGTACCTAAAAAACCAATATCTAATCTGACACTGGGAACAAGTTTGGGTTGAGTCTCTCTAATGGATGGCCTTACTGAGGCCTAGCACCCATTATCCATATTAATATGCATGACAAACTGAGCTGACTGAGCTAGACCTTTAATGTTCCACTCCTTGAGGGCACCTTTAATATTCCACTCCATTCCAGAACTGACACTGCTTTTTAACAATATATATCGGTCTTGAGTTTATTTTCAAATAAACATTTATTATAAGGAAAATTAAATGGGGAAAAGGAGTTAACTGAATTTGCTCATAAACAACTCTGGGACAAGTTTAGGGACAGAGTCTACGGGAGACCACATATGCACACAAACACACCACCCTGGGTGCCTCACCTAACCTTCTGTGTGTGATTTACTCCCTTAGTGTCCTCTTTGCTACCCTGGTAGACTCTGGCTGCCCTGACTTTTGCCCAGACCTATGGTGGAAGAGGGAGTGCCTCACTCCTTGCTATCTGTTCTTCTGTTCTGCAACCAGAACTGCCTGGCTATCCTAAAAAAAGATTGAGAATGAATCCTACTAAGGATTAATGCCACCTGTGCTCTCCAGAGCCTTCCTCAGTGGTCATCAGTCTTCTATTTTTTCCTTTATTTTTACTGAGCTCTTAAACCTGTCTGCAGAAGGGTGCCCCATATATGCTCCTTCTTTATACCTCCAGCTCTCCTTCCTTTTCCTCCTTGCTCTTGGAATGATCTGGCCTCTTCCTATACAGAGTGATGTCTGTGGTGTCACTTTTGCCTCTACCCCAATGCATCCCTGTCCTGACACAGCTTTCTTTCCCTGAGAGGAACATACAGTCCTTCTACTCTGTAAGGCTGACCCTCTCTTGCAGCACTTAGAACCTCATTCCTCCCGTCCACTCTGGAACCTTTCTGACATCGTCAATCTACCCTTCTCCATTCCATAATCATACTCCTCCCACATCCTGCTGGAGACCTATCATGGCTCAGATGAAATATGCTTCAAACTTCTCTAGGTAGCTTCCAAAACCTTCCATACTTTGGTCCCACATACCCACCATTACTTTTCAGTGCAAGGGTTTTATCCTAATCGTACAGTTTCCATGGTCCTTTCCACAATTGTGCTAACTCTGTCTTTGCTCTGATGTGTGTAAAAGGAGATGAAAAGAGTGGAGAGGCAGGGAACTACCTCTTAGTTATACTTCTATGTGCCAGGCATTGTACTAATGCTTTACACAGTATCTCATTTAATCCTCACAACAACTCTTATTATCTTTATTTTATAGATGAGGAAATGGAGGAATAGAGAGGTCAAGAAACTTGCCAGTCATAAGCTGGGAAGTTCTTGAGCTTTGATTGAAACATGAGCTTTTCCTACTGCACCATCCTGCATCCAATATAAATTGTTTAGAGTGTCCATGGCAAGTATTTGTCAGTAATATTTCCTCATTAAATATATTTTTAAAAAGCATCACTCTTACTTGAAGAACAATTTTAAAAGCACATATGGCAGTAAAACTAGAGTATCTAGTATAAATTTACTTTTTATTCAGCTTTGATTCCTTGGTTCTCAATATGCCAGGCATCAAGCTTCCTCTCTCCTTTTTTCTGTCTATAGGTTCTCTGCAGTGAAACTCTGTAGGCATCCGTGGGTGAATAGAGAAGGGAACAGGGACAGTCATTTTATAATTCTTCTGCATTGATCAGATTGGGCAGAATAGTGATTCAAAGATCACCAATGGCTATAATCCTTTTGCATTCCATTGCTATTGACATGGGAATGGAGATTTCTACCATAATCTTGATTTGAATGAAGAAGGAGTTAATCAAAAACCATTTTCTTAAAGTTTCCATTAAAAAACTCATTGTAAATACAAGGTGAGATTTGTATGCTGTTAGAATCAATCAACAAGTAAATATAGACTATCCACTATGTTCTGAACTAGGCTGCAGTAGTATGAGGCATAGTAATATAGTCCTCATGGAGTTTACAAATGGGTTAGGGATATAAGGAATAAGATATAAATATTGGATGAAGTAACAAACCATGTGAGATAAAATATAGTTAAGTGCTAACTTATGGGGTATCAGCTCTAAATACAGCTAAAGTTAGGAGAGATGGAAATTAAAAAGGACTGAAAAGGTCAATACAGGCTTGAGGCATGGTAGAAGTTTGGATTGGCAAAGGACAGAAGTAAGGATGGTGTTAAGAACAGTGGGAATAGTATGGACAAAGATCAAGTTAGGAATAAACATGAAGTGTTATGGGGGCAGTAAAGAAACCAGCTTCTTAAAATTCGTGTATGTGCTAGAGAACAAGGGGAAATAAAGTAGATAGGTAAAGAGGAGCCAAGGCAAAGAGGCTAGATTTCATAATAAAAGGCACAGGACTAGATAATAATGGGTTGATGAGAATGTAGAGAAATCAGAATCTTTCATACACTGCTGGTGGGGATGTAAAATGGTGCAAACACTTCGGAAAACATTCAGACACTTCTTCAAAAAGTTAAAAATAGAGTTACCACTCAACCCAGCAATTCTACTCTTATGTGTCATCCCAAGAAAAATGAAAACATATATCCACACAAAAACTTGCACTCGGCTGCAACAATTTCTTGCAAGACACGTCTCTAAAGGCAAGGGAAACAAAACCAAAAATGAACTATTGGGACTTCATCAAGATAAAAAGCTTCTGCACAGCAAAAGAAACAGTCAACAAAACTAAAAGGCAACTTATTAAATGGGAGAAGATATTTGCAAATGACGTATCAGATAAAGGGCTGGTATCCAAGATCTATAAAGAACTTACCAAGCTCAACACCCCAAAATAAATAATCCAGTCAAGAAATGGGCAGAAGAGATGGACAGCATTTTTCCAAAGAAGACATACAAATGGCCAACAGACACATGAAAAAATGCTCCACATCTCTTGTCATCAGGGAAATAGAAATTAAAACCACAATGAGATACCACCCAACACCAGTTAGAATGGCTAAAAGTAACAAGGCAGGAAACAACAAGTATTGGCAAGGATGTGGAAAAAGGGGAACCCTCTTACACTGTTGGTGGGAATGCAAACTGGTACAGTCACTCTGGAAAACATTATGGACGTTCCTCAAGAAGTTAAAAATAGAGCTACCCTACGACCCATCAATTGCACTACTGGGTATTTACCACAAAGATACAGATGTAGTGATCCGAAGGGGCACTTGCACCCCAGTGTTCATAGCAGCAATGTCCACAATAGCCAAACTGTGGCAAGAGCCAAGATGTCCTTCAACAGATGAACAGATGTGGTTTATATATACAATGGAATATTACTCAGCCATCAGAAAGGATGAATACCTACCATTTACACTGACTTGGATGGAACTGGAGGGTATTATGCTAAGTGAAATAAGTCAAGCAGAGAAAGATAATCGTCATACGGTTTCACTCATATGTGGAATACAAGAAATAGTGCAGAGGATCATAGGGGAAGGGAGGGAAAACTGGGAAGAAATCAGAGAGACAGAGACAAACCACGAGAGACTCTTGACTCTGAGAAACAAACTGATGGTTGCAGAAGGGGAGGTGGGTGGGAGATGGGGTAACTGGGTGATAGGCATTAAGGAGGGCGTGTGATGTGATGAGCACTGGGTGT